AAAAAAAATACGATTGTTGAATTGCTTATATCGTCAGATAGAAAATTGTGATAATTTATACGCTTGAATTGGTTAGAACAAAATTCTTGCGCTTTAAAAAATGATTAAAACTTATCTTCCACCTTGGTGACCGGTCAGATGAGCCTATCTTTCCAAAATGGATGAAATCTTAAAAAACTTTCGAATTCTGCCCATTCATCACTCACTTTCCTGGTGAAAAATGGAAAGAGGCAGGACGTCGGAGCGATAAATCAGCCTCCCCTACGGGATATGTTTGTTTTGAAAAGCTTTTATTTACATTTCCATCTTTTCCAGTTTAGAGAAAATATACTGACGTACTGAGCAAAAAGTTTAAAAAAGCCGAACAGAAATTAAATATAGAAATATCTAGGATAATTATTTGGAACAACCAAAAAAAAATTGAATATTTTCAATTGTATTTATATTATAAAATTAATTGCATATTAACTTCAAATAAAATACAATATTTTTAACGTTTTATATGACACATTTCGTAAACATCTCTAGTATAATATTTAAGTTGTTTCAAGTTGTCTACTGTTTAAGAAGATACGGTTTTTGTATAGGGGTTTTATTTGTTTTTAGCAATTAAAAGTCTGACTCTATAATTTATTCATCCCGGTTCGCCTAATCTCGCTGTATTTCAAACGAAATTTGGCCTTGCGCCATTTTCAGCATATAAGACCGGCCTCCTTTGTTCTACTGAATTCCAAACGAGGTCGGAAGACATTTAAGATCCCTGGCAATTATTTTGTTTAAAGTTTTTAGTTTAAATTTTTCAACCCGTCAAATCGTTCACAAAATAAACACTGTTAGCACAAACGACTGCGCAACAGTTAAACTTGGACGTGACTGTGAGTTAAAGCTTTAATTGTGCACAGGACGAAATAGCGAGGGTGAATTGAAAATATTAAATTCACCTGAACGCGGCGTCACAATTTGACAAAAATTTCCACAGCTTTAGAGACTCAACTCAATGTGTCTGGTCCAATTATTGCTAAATCAGTATTATTTTTCGTATGTAACAAAATAATTTTTGTAATTTACGTAGCAAATGAGGAAGTTGGAAATTGTTATATATGTATGCTCTCTTTTTTCCTTTATCTCAGTCTCTTTCTCTCTCTGTCTATTTCTCCCTTTCTCTCACTCTCTCTCTCTATCTCTGTATGTGGGTCTTTCTCTCTTTCACTCACTCGCTCTCTCTCTCTCTCTCTCTCTCTCTATCTCTCTCTCTTTCTATGCACCCTATTGTTTCTCACTCCCTTTTTCTCGTTCTCTCCCCTCTATATCATTCACATCTTCTCCTTTTTTCCATCTCTCTCACCTTCACTTTCTAACTCTTTATATTTTTCTTTAATTCTCTCTATCTTTCTATAAATCTACCTTTCTCTCATTTGCTCTCGCACCCTCTTTTTCTTACTCCCTTCCTCACCCCCTCTTTTTCTAATCCTGTTTCACTCTCTGTCTCACTCTTTCTCTCTCTTTGCCTCTCTATGAATTTCCCTCTCTTTCTCACCACCTCTCACTCTCTTTCTATCTCTTTGTATCATTCACTCTCTCTCGCTCTCTTTGTTTATCTTTCTCTCTCTCCCCATCATTCTCTCATTCATTCATTCTCTCTCTGTCTCCCTATTTTTCTCGTTCCATTCTCTATCTCTCTGTTTCTTTGTGTATTTCCCTACTTTTTCTCAACCTCTCACTCTCTCTCTCTCTCTCTCTACCTTTTTTCTCAGTCAATCTCTCTAGCTCTCTCTTTCTGTTTGTCTGTCTCTCTCCTTTCTCTCTCTTTCTATCTCTTTCTCCATCATTCTCTCATTCATTCTCTCTCTGTCTCCCTATCTTTTTCGTTCTATTCTCTATCTCTCTGTCTCTTTGTGTATTTCCCTCATTTTTTCTCAACCTCTCACTCTCTCTCTATTTTTCTCTCAGTCAATCTCTCTCGCTCTTTCTTTCTGTTTGTCTGTCTCTCTCCTCTCTTTTTCTATGATTCACTCTCCATCATTATCTCAGTCATTCATTCTCTCTCTGTCTCCCTATCTTTTTCGTTCTATTCTCTATCTCTCTGTCTCTTTGTGTATTTTCCTCCCTTTTTCTCAACCTCACACACTCTCTCTCTCTATCTTTTTCTCAGCCAATCTCTCTCGCTCTCTCGGTCTCTTTGTCTGTCTCTCTCTTTCCTCTCTCTCTCTTCCTCTCACTCCTTCTCGATACTTTTCTCTCATTTATTCTTTCTCTCTCTCCCATCTTTCTATTTTTCTCTGACTCTATTTATCTTCGTCCCCTTTCTTTCTCATTCCATCTCTATTTATTCTGTCTCTCTTTCTCTCCCATTCATTCTCTACTTTCTTCGGTCTTTCTGCCTCTCTCATTCCCTTTCTCTTTTGCATTTTTAAGGCATGTTAAAGAAAAACAAAAACAAAAAACACTCAGTTAAATCGTGTACCTTTCTATGACTTCAGGCTTTGAAACTATTTTGACTGATTTAAACGGTTTAAAAACAAGAAACAAATTTACGAAATTCCAAGTTATATTTTCTCAAAAATTAATTATGTTTTTCTTTATAGGGTCAAAGAGATCTTTCACCCGTCATCATAGTGTAAATTAGCATTTGAATATTATAATTGTAATATTAAATGGATGAGTGAAATATCTCGCCTACTGTACTATGTTTGCCTTGTTGCAAACTCATAAAATAGTAGATTTCGAATATTTTAAGATTCTGTTACTAATTAAACGGGTATCAAGGTTTTTACCAATTTATGGGTATTTAATCGGTAATGATTTTCCATTGTACCTTTTTCTTTGTCAATTATGAAATGCCTTACACCAGGGGTGCTCAAACGGTCGATCATGGAATGTACATACTTTTCTTTACAGTTCGACGAATCCACCGATATGACAGACACTGCCCAGCTGTGTATTTTTATTCGGATGGTATTCAATGACATGTTGGCTAAGGAAGAATTTTTGACAATCATTCCTCTGAAGGGGAAGACCCGTGGCGAAGATATATATGACGTTTTCTTCAATTTTGTAAAAAACTACGAGCTACCAATATATAAATTAGTGTGCATTACAACCGATGGAGCACCAGCAATGACTGGAAACAAAAACGGTTTTGTGGCATTGTGTCGAGCTAATGAAGAATTCCCTTCATTTTTTTCATTCCATTGCATTATACATCAACAAGTTTTGTGTTCAAAAGTTTTAAACACGGAGGAAATTATGGGCATTGCAACAAAAATTGTGAATTCCATCCGTGCACGTAGCTTGCAACGGCGGCTCTTTCAGTTGCAGTTGGAAGATAGGGAGTCAGCTGAACACACTGATTTAGTTCTTCACACGGACGTCAGGTGGTTGAGTCGCGGAAAATTCCTAGAAAGGTTTCAAGAATTATTGCCCGAAATAACAGCTTTTCTAGACGAAAGAGGTGATGACACTCAGATTTTGAAAAACGAAAAATGGCTGACTGATTTGGCATTTTTGACTGACATCACAATGCACTTAAACACCGTTAACTTGGAGCTTCAAGGTAAAGGAAAAACTATTATTGAGATGATTAGCGCAGTAAACGCATTCAAAAGTAAATTGCAACTTATGATAGATCAACTGAAAAGAAAGGATCTGAAACATTTTCCGTCTTTGAAAGCAAGGATTCCTCAGTTGAATTATGATACGTATGAGGCTGAATTATCAAATATTTTGGGACAATTCGAAATGCGTTTTTATGATTGCAGTAAATTGGAAAATATAGCATCATTTATGAGTTATCCTTTTTCATGTAAAAACATTGAGGAATTAGCTACTGAAATAGCAAGTCAGTTTAATATGAACTCATGTTCTGTTGAAAATGAGTTGGTGCAGATTATATCAGATATACATCTCAAAGCTACAGCATCTGATACAAATTTCTGGTGTTTTATATCTGAAGATAAATATCCGAATGTAAGGCAAATCGCCCTTCAACTGACGGCATTTTTTGGGTCAACTTACTTGTGCGAGTCTGCATTTTCTGAAATGAAGATAATTAAGTCAAAATATCGCAATCGACTAACTGACGATCATATGTCATCATGCTTGCGATTAGCACTCAGTGGTTACGTACCATCTTATGAAAAGTATGCTGAGGACATGCAGTGCCACGCTTCAACATCCAAAGCCACTCCTTAGTTAAGTTTAACACCATATGTAACTCTTTTGTTTTGTAACAACCAATAAACTCGCAATTTTGAATAACTATGAGTTTTTTCATTGATATTGTAGAGAAGAACCTAACTAAACCTAACCCAAACCTTGACTAAAATAATGTACCTATATTGTGCAGAAAGCTAATATCTATATATGCTACGGTACACCCTACCTAGGTAGGTAGGGTGTATCGTGTATGTACGACAACCTTGCATCACACACACTTGCAGCCTCTCAGAGTCGATCGTAAGTAGTCTAAAAATATTGAGGTAGATCGCCAGCAGTTCAAGTTTGAGCACCCCTGCCTTACACAAAAATAATTTATATTCCTCTCTTTCGTTATGTTAGTTTTCACCCTTTAGTAATTTTTTTGTATGCAACTTTCTTTTCCCTTTTTTAAATATAAATTCTTATAGAAGAAGATGTGTCTTTATAATGAGAAAATAAACTATTATAAAATCTTGGTGTTACAAAAAGTCTTGTCCATTCTCCTAAGATAACTCAAAAATTCGTTACATTAGTAGCCATATTTTTTAATAATATAAGTGGAATGATGTATTTTTTCACCACGTAATTTATTAGAAATTGTTTGAAACGCTTGAAGAAGGAGTTACGTTTGTGGAAATCTTGACGAAGTTACAGATTATTCTTCTATCTTTCAAATTATCCTTATCTCTGAATTTTTGATAAAATTACAAAACCACTTCAGTTTAATATTTCAATGCTTTATTTAATATTTGATCTGTTACATTTATTTATTTTGAATGATTTAGTTTTTTGTTTGTTTATAGCTGTTGTCACCCCCGGCCCGAAAGTAACGGACTACAGCCTTTGGGTGAGGGGAGAGTGCATTTTTGGCACTTTGGACCCGGTGCCTCTGACGAAAAATTTCACAGTGCCGGAGAGACAGCCTTTTGTAAATTTCACGTGAGTTATATTTTACTGTTTTATGCTCTATGGAGAAAATGATGAAACGCGTTAAAGAATTAAATTTTCTGAAACTTTTTTTATGAAGAAACTATATTAAGCCGCTCAAATTTGCAAACTTCTATCAAAATGGTGTAAGTATTCTGGATTGTAAAATATATACAGGTTGTCCTATTTAGTTGGTTCTCTTGAACCAATGAGCTATCAAAAACACAAAAAAATACGTGCTTAATATTTTTCAGTCTAGTTTTAAATTTTTACCTTTTTTGGAGGAAAATTATACCCACACAGGCCCAGTTAAACTTTCAAATTTCAAATACGACCCTATAGATCTTGACACACCATTTTAAAGTATTTTTAAGTTGCAAAGAATGGTGTGATTGGATTTTAAATTAGACAAACGATGACAAAGTGATGGCAAAAAGTTTGAAAAATTCCATTTCGTTTGTTTCGTTGTTAATTTGAATAATTTGCTTCGTTACTAAAGTAAATATTATTTGCCTTTATTGTGTACATTCTGTCATTGTTTTTTAAACTTGCATTTAGTTTTCTTCAGGTCCCATATCGACATTTGTGCATGCTACATTGTCATACTACATAAAATTGTAAGCCTCATCTCTACTTTTATTTTTTGAAAAACCCTTCCAACATTCCGGAGAGAGGAATTTGGATTTTCGCGAACATACAGTAAAATAGTCAGCTCCTCGTCGAAATTACGCTGCCGGTTTCTTGGTGATGGAACAGCAACTGATCTCTGTGTCTCCTCATATTGAGAGCAACACGAATAAACATTTTGTTGTTTACTCTAGGGCGACCAGGAAATACCTGGGAGTACAACTCGACTGAACAAGGCGCAATACCACGACTATCAATAAAGCAGTCGTACGTATCAACTCGCTGTTGATGGAAAACACGTGCTTTTCTGTTCATTGTGAATAGACTACTGAATGTAACGAATAGTAATTTATTTCCAGGAAGTAACATTTCCTCTCATAATGCGAGTTTGACAAAAAATGACAGACTTTAAACAATAAAGGCAATTAAGGTTTATTTTATTGAAGAAGCAAACTATTGGCATTAACAAAGAAACAAACGAAATGCGTTTTTTCAAAATTTTTGCCATAAAATTGTTTTTTTTAAGATGAGTAATTTAAAATCATGCATTGCAATACTATTCTAAATTTTTGCTGACAATTAATTTATTTAAATTTTCGTCTCGTTTTTTCTAAATTTTTGTTTATGATAATATTGTACTGATTACATAATTTCTTCCATGAGTTAAACCAAAAAATATTTTTATTTATTATTCGTTTTGGAGTCATTAATCAGGTAGTTTTAAGTTCTTGAAATTTATTTTAAATGAAGACATAATTTTTTTCTTTCCTATTTCTAATATTAGAATGTAATTAAGACTAAGTATTCAGAAATCTTGAGATGCGGTCTGGTGTGATGTAGGTTTCAGAAAAACAAGTTCTTTATGGTGCCAACGTTTCGATCATTATTGAGATCATCTCCAGGGCCTGGGATTTATAAGCATTGTTTCAATTAACTCAACTAAAATTTAAACAATATTTGTAAATCCCAGCAGCGTTTTGGGACCATGGGTGGGAAGACTCCGCTTGTTTCTGTAGTTGAGGGTTTTCTATATACGCCTATTTCTATTAGGACTATTTATGGACAATTTTAGGTCTAAAAACCAGCTGCTAATTGATACCTTGCGTTGGCGGGTTCACTTTTGTAATTCATGTCGAGAGACGTGGTTGTAGACAACCTGATGATGAGCTAAAGAGCTCGAAATCCGGATTGTTGCAAAACAACTTACTGTAAGTAGGAACTATCATTTTAAAAAGGATCTAAACAATTTCTTTCTTTTGATGATAAATTTCTTGGTAAACCATTCCTGTTTTTTTTTTAAATTTTTTTTTAGTATATTACTATTTCCTTTTACGTTAACTGCAGCAGCATTTTTAATCACATTCACTTAAAGTCTCTTCAGAATAAAACTCTCTCAAATCTCTTTTACCCATTTTGTTTTCAACTTTAGTATTGAATTTACAACTGTCCTATTTAGTCCAACTTAATTTTGCGAGCAACGTAATCATAATTTCGTTAGAGTTTATAATCAGTACAGTTCAAATTGGAATGTGAACCAAATAGATTTCTAGATGAATTTCAAATTTTGCAATATTGTCTAGTAATGGAGAACTAATACAGTATAAATATTAGCCCACCTGTTTGGTTATCTACACTCTTCCATTTAAAATGATTAAATCTTTATTTTCAGAAAATTCTAAATAATTGTCTTTCACTGGAGTTTATGCACTTATTTTTAGATGTACGTTTTTCTCTAATATTAACATTATGAATCAATATTGGTATAATAACTTACAATTAATTAAGATTTTTAGTTGAGATAAAAAAGTCAATGGCACGAGCGGGATTCGAACCCACGATCTTCGGCTTGATACGCCGCTACTCTACCACTTGAGCTACCGTGACCTCGATCCACTCGGTCACTAACTTCCAATCTCAACCCCACCTTTTGAATTTTCCCTCCTTTTTGCCATTTTTTTATCTCCACCCGCTCTACTAAAAACAGAATGAGGAAAAGCCGGTATTATCAGTAATTTAAGTTCATTTAATAATTTTTTATAAAACTGGCTACAATTTTCTTCAATGTAAATTTCTCAATGTAATATAATATCAGAATATTTAAAAAGTGAATAAAATTAAAATTTTTCTCCTTATTGTTCTAACTTGCAATATTATAAGCCATTATAGTAATGCCGAGACCAGTCCGTTGTGAATTAACACTTTCATTGTTTTTTTTTTTTTTTTTGTGTGAAGATAATTATGGTTTGCTGGGTACACTTCAGCTTTATTCTTCTTCTTCTCCTGCAGTTTTCCCTATTTAATCCACCTCTGAATCGTACCGTCCATCATATATTCAGCACCTGTTACAGACGGATCTTCTTTTTCACATCCCAAAAAATAAACACATTACGATATTTTTTTCGTTTGGCAGTTCTTCCAGACTGCATAGTCTCTCGTTTATACCTAGAATATCGTACCTCATGTAAACTTTTCTACTTTCTTGCTTAGCCGTACAACTTCTTCCTCACTTCCCTTACTTTTGCTGGAAAATCTTCCGACAATATTAGGTTAGTTCCCTTTATGTTTTTTGATGATTACAGTATTTCCAGTTTGCGCCGGAATGTTAGAAACCTTATAAGTATTGCACTGTTTTCTTCAAATTCACTAGTTTCGTGGTCCGCTTGACCAATTAGTGATTGAGCAGCGGCGTATCTAGCCGAAGATCGTGGGTTCAAATCCCGCTCGTGACACTGACCTTTTTTTATCTCAACTAAAACTGTTTCCTTTGTTAAACTCAATGTCCCTTGTGTTTTAATTACATCTTTGGAAAAGATTCAATTTCTTTTGCCAAATTTCATATCTTTTCATTCGGATTTTCAGGGAACTTAAATAAAATCAAATTATATCTTTTATATCTAGATTCACACGTGTCGCACTTTTCACACAGTTTTTCCATAACTTTATTTAAATTTTAACTCATAGACTAAATTTTGTCGTTTAACTTGTCTTTCTTCTTCCAAAATTCTTTTTGCAGCTGTTTTATAGTATCAGCAATATCTGTTAAATGTAGACATTCTTCCGTCATTTTTACTGAAGTTATTTATAAATATACAGGAAAATAGAAGAAAAAACTCATAAAAAAATTCATTTTTGTCAGCGTCAATAACTATTATTGCCGTTTTACAATATTTTCATTTACTGTATTTAATAATGGTTCAGAATTGGGGCAAATAATATCCTTTTGTGTTTACAGTTTCCTTGTGAACTGGCCCAATGCCGATTGCCGAAATCCTTCGATTGGGCGCATCGGATAAGTCCCGCTAAATCTTTTTTTTACTCCCACTACCTTCAAAATGCACTGTTTAAGTTTAAATAATTTGAATAATTAAACCTTACAATAACGTCAATCAGCACAGTTCTCATGAACTTAAGTTACTCTCAGCAGATCATCCTTTCATTTCCACCTCCTGTTTGATTTTCGGCTTAAAACAATTCATCTAAACCGCTGTTACACGACTTTTTGTACTGAGCAAGATCGAACGTTGGGGACCGCGGTAGCCGAGTGGTTAGCATGAGATACTCTCACGCCGCGGTCGTGGGTTCGATTCCCACCGTCGCCTCTGGCCCTTTTTTCCCGATAACCCCCAATTTGAACACACAAAAATTCGTACCATGGCTAAATATGCAAGATCATAAGGCAACAAAAAAAAAAAAAAATCGAACGTGAATGTTTCTGAGTGATGAACGTTAGTAACTAACTGTAAAATATAAAAATGGCTTTGCTACTATTCTCCGACCTTTTTCTTCTTCAAATTCTTTCATAATTACTTTAATACGTTATTTATTCATCAAGTCCGAAACATAAAACAGGTTTTTTCTTAAGGCAAATTTTTAAATCATGGAGTGACTATTTAAAAAATGAACGACTCTTATTCAAAGAAAGCACGGCGATGTAATGACTTTTTAAAAACACAACGCAGGCTTATGTCAATTGTTATCAAATATTAAGAAAGCGAGTAATGCGACGAATCAAACTTTGACAAAACAAAACGTACCAAGTTGCCCAAAGTTCATGAATAAACCTAATCCAAATAAAAGGTTTGGGCTGGAACACCGGCAGATTTGAATTTCCTATTCCTGCTTTAGAACAGAGGACGAATGGCAAACAAAACCCACCATGGGAACTTCCCTCAAATATTCTACATCTGAAATAATCCTAAATTAAAAGCTGTCGAGTAAAATACTCAATTTTGTGACCATTAGCGTTTTTAATCATCATTAATTCCAATTCCTTTAAATTTAAATTGAAAATAGGACTTTTTTGTTTTAAGCAATTCGTAAGAACAAAAGCACAGGAAAAAGTTTGATCATTTTAGCAGTGTGGTCCTAATTACCTTGGAGAATAC